CAAAGATACGTATATGATAGAGATATATCTTACAAAGGATCCAGGATATATAAAGAATTATAAATCAATAAGAAAAGATAACTCAGTAGAAAATGGCAAAAGATATTAACAGGTTTTTTTTTAGAAACTAATATGTAAATGGAGAGTGTGAAAAGATGCTCATTAGTAATCGCCCCCAAAAAACAAATTAAGATCATAATGCGATAGTATTTTACACCTACCGGACTGGCAAAAATGAACACGACTAAGAATACCAAGTTTAGTGAGGATGTAGAACCATAGGAATTTTTACACACTGCTGGTGAGAATGCAGATTGATAAAACACTTTGGAAAACTGCCTGGCCTTATCTTGTGCATTTGAATATGGTACATGATCTATAACCCAGCATTTCCACTCAGGTTATGTTTCCTAAAGAAAGTTGCCCATGTGTACCAGGAGATATGTACAAGAGTGCTGAGAGCAGCATTGCTCTTTAATAGCAAAATATTGTGAATAATGTTCATGGATAGGCAAGTTTCAAAAACAAGCAAAACTAAATACATTTCTAGGATGCCCACATGTGAGGTAAAAATATTTTCTAAAACAGTTAAGGGAAGAGAAAAGAGGGAACTCTTAAAGAATTCCAAATACTATATGTAGACTCCATGGTCCAGAAGGTGGAGCGTGCCCCTCCCCCCTTGCATATGGGCTGGACTTAGTGAATCAACTCCAGATCACTGAGGGAAGAAAGTAAGCATTGGTAAGAAAAATATTTTCCACAGCATGTGGTAGCATTTCCATTTTTTATTTCAATGGAAAACGTCCCCATTCCATTTTATAAAAATATCCATGAATTTTGTAACTAACAAAGACTGAAGCAAATTATTAGAATTTTTTCATTTATTCAGTTTAAAAAATGTTCAGAATCCTGCCATCAACTCTTGGGAATTCCATAAGTTAATTCAGCTACATGCCTTGGTGTCTAGAGGCTTTTCAAAAATCTTCCTTTATATCTAGTCGTAGCTTGATCCTGTCACTTCCAATTGTGTCATCTTTTCTCCTTCATTCATGGCAATCTGTGGTACCTTTCTTTCTACTTGAAAATTGACATCACTTTCTTACCAATGTGCTCATACCAGTGACTTTTTTGTATACATGCATATGTCTATATAACAATTTTTTAATATTGATTTTTTTAAGGTTGAAGAAAGAGGGACCCATTAACTTCACCTTTTCCTTAACTTTGAAAAGAAACAAGCCAAATTCTGCCCTTCACCTCTAATGTTTGGGAGATCAGAGTTTTTGTCAGTTAAGTCATCCTTTCTTCGTAATTATGAGAAGGAAATAATCAGAAATTTCATTTAACAATGAAATGTTAAAACCATGTTTATCAAATGTATCTGTAACATGAACTGTTGATTAGTTAAAAGCTGGTTGAGACAGTTTTACTTGCAATATTTGATATCTTTGATATCTGTTGATTATTTTTACGGCAAATGCAAGTTTATTCATTAGGTAGCTTGAGCCAGTTTTTCATACTATTCTTGCTTAGATAGCTTTAGGCTGGGGACAGGTGAGCTGCAAGAGAAATGAGTGTGACTAATGGATGCATAGCCTGTCCTTCCCGAGGACGGAGCTCTGGAAGGCGGGCAGGGTTCAGGGCATTGGGCCAAAGCCCATGCTGGTGGATTCAAGCACACACCCTACACTCCCTTGGAGGATCATGGGCTCTGCGTGGGGTTCACTCAAAGCTGCCTTCCCCATAAGAGCTTGCCCTGAAACGCTGGGCTGATGACAAAAGACCTTGCCCAAGCCCTTCTGGACACCAACCCCACCAATGGCAATGTCTTCAAAACAAGGATTTTTCTGAATAATTTAAAATTTGATAATGTGAAAAGGAATTTTCAGAGTGAATTGAACCAAGGGTTGTTGGTGGTGAAACTCCCTCCATCTTTCTGGGAAAGCAGTAGTAGATGCTATGCTTTCTGCTCTAAGGCCTGCACCTTACCCAGCGCACCTACACTGTCTCCTCTGGCAAAGCCTGTTTCCCACCCTTTGGGCTGGAACAGGTATATGAAGAGGAGTCCTTGCTCATTCTCACTCCACGCTGCTCACTCTGCTCCCAAGAAAGCTTCATCCTCACCTGGCATTTTCACTTCTTCCTTTGCTGTGTTCTGGCATCTGGGTTTCATTTGTGGCCTAGGGAGGGGTGGAAAGGCCCAATGGCAGGGCGATTGTTACTATTGTCAGCTCTCCTTGGACGAGCTTGTGTCCATTTTCACATTCTCACATCCTGACGGGGCTGCAGTAACCCTAGGATCTTTGCTGTCAGCTACAGTGCCATCCATGCTTACTGATCCTACCTTTCCTTTCAAATAGTAACTAACTGGAGGCAGATTTTCAGGTGGAGAAAGCAGGGCTAAGAGAGTCACCGGGAGACCAGGTTGTAATCAGGAACCCAGAGACCCGATCCTGAATTTCCTGACTGGGCTGCTTTCTGCATTGTTGAGGAGCTTGAACCTGAAACATGCTCGTTCTAAAAAACAACCCCAATCTTCTCTCAGCTTCTAGCTGTGCCCGTCTTTGGGAAAGGCTGTGGAGCGCCTGCTTCTGACCTCGCAGGGGAGAACTGTGGATCTGAAACCAGCAACTCACCAGGGAGATGGTGGAATTGGGGGCTTGGCCGCGGCAGAAGCGTTTGAGTAAAGCCTCCTGTACCTGCAGGAGAGGTAAATGCCTGGATATGGCAGCTGAAGCCCTGGCCTTTGGATGTGAGTCAGGTGGGGGGTTAGGTGGGCAGACTCACCTTCTTGTCCATGAGGCAACCAAACAGTAAGATGAAGACACCCTGAAAAGAGGGATATGGGGATAAGTTAGTCAAGGAGGAAGCAATCAACCGAAATCCACCTGCTCCCTCTTCTCTTTATTCACCTCTGTCCTCGTGTCTGATTCACACCCTGAGGCTACCCACCTCAGGTTATCTGTACATTGGTACCATTGGTGCACAGGCCCAAAGGTGCTTTTCTTACTGTTACAGTTGCAAAGGGATTATCACAGGATTGGATACTGACAATTCCCTGAATTCTCTGGCAAAACTTATTTACCAGCTAAGAAACCAGGCTTCAGAGAATTTTGTCCAAAGTTACCCAGCTAGTCAGTGGAGGAACTGGGATCCAAACCTAAGCCTTCTAGAAGTCCTGAGCTATGTTTCTTCTCCACCGTGATACCTCCTTGAGAAGGGACTGGCAGTGACTTAGACCATCTAAAAGGGCAAAAGGCACAGCCACCACATTCTTACCCACCTGGGAGGTGTTGAGAATTGTGAAGACGTAGTGAGGGACTATGGAGACTTCCTCTAACAGAGTGGCCAGGCCCAGCCCCCAGGTGAGGCCGAAGATGGGCGTGAGAATGAGCAGAGCTTTGACCACCCCCAGAAGGGCTTGGCACGTCTCCATCTGGGGTCCTTCTGACAGCGAAGGTCTCAGCAACTTCAGCACAGCCATGGCTAGTACCAGCCCATTCACACCCACGATGGCCAGCACTGGTCCCACAAAGGTGTAGAGTGCCCCTCCCTTCCCATCCAGCCAGCATGCCCCTTTCCCCAAGTATTGCCCTCGGGGTAGGTAGAGGCCCAGGGCGACACCTGCAAACCCCATCGGGCACAGGTAGCCGAGAACCACCATCAGGGAGAGTACTTGGCGCTTGGACAGCTGATGGAAGACAAAGAGCAACTGGTGGGCCAACATCAGGGCCTGAGCCAGCATCCAGAAAAACGTGGCCAGGTAGAGGAAATGACAGAGGAAGGCAGCGGCCAGACAGAGTGGGCTTTGGGGCCCTGGAGAAAGCAGTGGGGCTCCCAGGAAGCAGCTGTCTGCAGCCAGCAGACAAAGCACCATGTTGAGCAGGGCTGCGTGGCGTAAGTAGGCAACTTTGTTCCGTACCACGACTCTCCACACCAGCCTGTACACGCCCAGGCATACGAGCAGTGCCACAATGGAGGCCCCCAAGCCTACCTGACTCAGCAGGTCCAGGGTGGGGTTGCCTGGAACAGTATGTCGGGACATGAGGACAGAGAAGGCAGTCAGGTGCTGACAGATGCACTGAGTGGTGGGGCTAGCATTGGCTGTCTGCACCTGGCACCCTTCCTCCGACCATCCCCCATTGCCCTGGAAGAGATCGTGGTCCCAGAAGACACAGTGGAGGGTGCTATCTCTGTCCCCAAAGTCCATGATGACTTCTCCCTGGTTGAAGGCCTGGCCACCTGCCATGATGGAGATGGCAAGGACCAGACCAGGAGTGGCATAGAGGGCGTCCCCCAGCCCTTGTTCATAGTTTGAGGGCAGAAGGCGGTCCAGTTTTCTCAGCATTAAGCTAGTAATAGTGATGTTGGTTCCATTATGGGCCAGAGGGGCCAGTGAGTGTCTGGGAATCTGTGCCTGCAGCGGGGGCTGAGTGGAGAAGGCGACTCTGTAGTCAGCAGGAAGTGAAGGCCCGAGGGGCTGTGTCTGCAGCTGCACATTGGGCAAACTGAAGGAGAAGGGCTGGTCCTGGGGGCACAGACTGCATGCCAGGGTCTCCACAGCCAGCAGGAGATTTGAGCCCACTGATGGCTTCTGGTCCTGGGCCGGGGTCCACAGAGAGCTGGGGTCCATGTCTAGGATCTTGTCTGTGGTTTTCAGGAGAGCCTGTGGCACCCAACAGAGAGATGAACCCTAGTTCCTAGAGCTCTCATCACTGAGCCAGGGGCACTGGGAACTATAGGCCCTCAAACCCACCTTCCCTTATCCAGAGCAAGACTCAAGGTTGGAAAGAAAGGGGGAGAGGAAGACAGGCCTGTGAAGGGAGAGCTTCTAGATAGGATGAAAAGGAGCTGTTCAGCTAACCACTGGGGCATCTCCAAGTATGTGGTCTGAAGCACACCCTGCTCCCCTCCATCTGACAACACTTGTAATCCTCCTCAATCCCTTGGGGTCACCCAGGCCCTAAGGGAGACCTTCTCCAATTCCTTGACCCTATGGATCTGTAAAGCTAGGAATGGTGGTAGAGGGCACAATGTTCTGAAGTAGGGGCCACATGCATGTCTGCACACCAACATGTGATACATATTCCCAGACATGAGTGGTGTGTAGCGTCCTTGCCCCTGGTTATTCTTTCGGCTGTAGCTTATGGGTCACCAACAGATGCCTATATTGAGACATGAGTTCAGCAAACCAAGTGTGTTTGAGTATCTCCATGCAGGCATAGTGTGTGTGTGTGTGTGTGTGTGTGTGTGTGTGTGTGTGAGTGAGTGTGTGGTGGTGGGGATTCATGTCATATCCACAAGTCTGCGTGTGCATGTGCACCTCCGAACACATGTCTACACACTCCCTCCTGCCCTCTCCTGAACTCCCATGTGTCCCCAGCATCAAACCTCCACATTCCATGGCCTTAGAGACTGGTGTCAAAGAGGAGAGATGGACCAGGGGAGCAGACACTCGGACTCTCAAAAGGTCTGTTGTCTGACAGCCCATTGTAATGTCAGAAGGACAGAAGTGCCCAAAGGTGAAGAGCTCCCAGCCCCCTCTACCCAGCTGGCACCTGCTGTGGCTCAGAGATCTTACCTCCAGGGCACTACGGTTAAGCTGTATTCTGGTGTCCGCCGCCACCTTGGCCAGGAATGTCATGGTGCCCAGCAGTGCCAATAAGTCAGAGGGTGAGCTCACCATCACTGTCTGCTCCAGCAGCTGTGTCAGGATCTGGGGCACTTCTTCAGCAGGCCAGCCCTGGCCTGCCCACAGCAGCTGAGACAGAAGCGACGGCAGTGTGTGTGTGTGTGTGTGTGTGTGTGTGTGTGTGTGTGTGTGTGTGTGATCCTCATGAGAGAGTGGTCATCTCCNGGGAATAAAATCCAAAAGGAAGGCTGGCTGTAATCTTTTTATTTTTTTAATCATTATGGAAACAGATATTCCTTCAAATTACAGAAATTTCTGTTGCTGATCAAGACGAATAAATAAGATATGTAAAATATAAACATCTTACATTTAGAAGTCTTTATTTATGGCTTTTCTTCAGAAACTTTGAAGACAAACAAGGGGTCAGTTATTTATAGGTTGAACATTTTAGACTTCATGATCAAAAGCATTTTTTAATCTGTGTAACTTTTTTACAGAAAACCGTAATCAATTCAGACCAAAGCCCGCCCTCTTGTCTTTCCGTGTCAGGCTTAAACTAAGAAGTTAGCTTGTGCACAGCACTGTCTGTAGTGCATCTCCACATAGGTTAATGTCCTTTGGTTTTGAGTGTTTGTTCCCTTATTTTTTATCTAGCCATAGTGTGTAAAGAACACAATACTAGATGCTTTTGTGGATGAGCAAAGAATAATACCCAGTACCTTTCTTCTAGAACTTTACAGTATAGTGAGGAGAGAGATGATGCATCTTAGAAATTAGATTAATCTGGCATTGTTCCATCAAGAGCCAAATGAGTGGTACAGACATGATTAGATCAGAGCAGGATTTCTCAGCTTTGGCACTATTAGCATTTTGAGCCAGATAATTCTTGTGGAGGGGTTGTGCTGTGTGTTGTAGAATGTTTAGCATGGTCTCTACCTACTAGATACTAGCAGTACCCTCCTTCCCAAATGCATACAGTTGAGACAACCAAAAATATGTCCAGACATTGCTAAATGTCCTCTGGGGAAGGTGGGAGGCAAAATCACCCCTGTCGAGAACCACTAATCTAGAGCAACCTAAAAGACCTGAGACATGAAATGAATGCATTGTAAATAAAGCTGGAGAAGGAAATCTCTGCCTTATTATGGACCCTTTTAGGATAACCCCAAGTCAGTCAAACCTTGCACCTGTTCTTTTTTGTTTACTTGTACCTGTGTCAAGATATTTACCAGTTTGTGGGACCGGCCGAGTGGCTCAGTTGGTTAAGAGTTAGCTTAAGAGCATGAGCTCTGAGCAACAGGACCACCAGTTTGATTCCCACATGGGCCAGTGACACTGTGCCCTAGCTGAGCTGCCGCTGAGCTGCCAATAGGTGGCAGGATGGCTCAGCTGGTGAGAGCATGTGCTCCTAACAACAAG